GGAGCCCCCACCCACCCTTCACAGCACCACCAGCTGAGAGGCCCCACCCACCTCTGCGGGGTGATCATGGGGCGATGGCGGGGCCCCCCAACCAATCGCATCACACCCACCTTGGCTGGCATGGCGCCAGTGTGTATCATAACGTCAGTAGTTCTCAACCTTCTGGCCCTTTAAATACAGTTCCTCATGTTGTGACCCAACCATAAAATTATTTTCGTTGCTACTTCATAACTGTAATGTTGCTACTGTTATGAATTGTAATGTAAATATCTGATATGCAGGATGGTCTTAGGCAACCCCTGTGAAAGGGTCATTCGACCGCCAAAGGGGTCGCAACCCACAGGTTGAGAACCGCTGCCTACATGCTCCCTCTGGAGCCTGGGGTCTGTTTTCTAATAGCACTTTCCTTACTGAATGAGTCAAGCTCTTCAGGGCCCAAATCATAGTCTCTGATTTTAAAGAAATCTGTTATTATCAGGCCCTGAATGAATACTACTAAGTGGTTTCCTGTCTTGAAAGGACTCAGGAAACCACTGTCTTTTAACATTTACTTCCAGAAAGATCATCCTTTGGTGTCTAGAGAGACCCTCCGTGGAGAGAGTGAATGCAGATCCAAGGACAAGGACCCCAGAATCTGTGCTTTACAAGGATGAACTTGACAGAGGTGGACCCCGGGAGAGAATTTTGGTGCAGAGCCTCACTAATCCTGCTCTTGTGTGGCTTTGAATTTTTTTTTAATGCATTCTTATTTAATGTTCAATTTTCCTAACTTTAAGTTAGTGCCCTTTTTAAGCAAAAACTATGTTTGAGGTTCTTTTTGCTTCCCCCAAATGAAAACTATAATAAGAATTTACTAATTAAAATGTACCTTAAAATATGAATCTATTTTTAATAAAATAATATAGTTACATTTATATCTATGTTTCCTGAGATATACTGTTTACATATGAATTTGGTTTATTTTTTTCTGACTTGTGTAGGTATTAACTTTAAAGATAGCTTATTAATATGAATTAGAAATGACATGTCACTAAGTATAATTTTGGCCTATACATTTTTAGTTATAACAACTACTTGTCCAGTATTTCGGGGAAGGAAGGATTTAGACTCAAATTGGAAAATAACAACAAAAAACAACTGGAAGACATTATTTAAGGTTAGTGTTTAACAATAAATTGCACCAATCAACAACTTAAACAAATAAAAAAAAAACCCTCTGCACGCCTGACCAAGAAATGGATAGGCTGATTTTTAGTCACATTTGGGGAGCAGATGGTAGAATTATTCTGTGTGCAGACTGGTGATGCAAACCATAAACCTCAGCTATCAAAATAACAAAACGAAGTAAAATGTCATTGGCATTCAGATGACAATGGATGATGTTTCAGTCTTTGATTTTCTGGAAAATAAATAGAGGACTTTACTAAATGAGAATTTAAAAAAATAAAGAAAGAATGTGTCAGCAGGGAATAAATAATGGTATCGTCTCATCAGGCTCAAAATATTTTCTCTGTGACCAGATTCATAGAGGTTATGAAAAGATGAGACAACTTAATTTGCTTCCAAGTATTGGGATCAGTCCCTGCAGTCTGAGCCAAGCTGAGGCTTAGAAATGTAATTGGCTTTAATTGTAATTAATTTAATTAATCACAGTCATACTGTGAGTCTAGGCTGCTTGAGATTCTATTTCAACAACTTTCTGTTCACCTCCACATTTTCCTTTTTTTAAAATGCAAAGCCAAGAAATAGCGAGGAAAGGTGAATAGATGTGTTGTTTTTTTTTTCCTTTTTGATCCAGCCATTTGTGCATAGAACATTTAATTATACAGAAGAGAGAATTCAGCAAGATATGCATGGTCACAAAATTGTATTTTAACTTATTTTTTAAAAAGGCAAGATTTTCATTTTAACTGAGTTTTACCTGTTAGGCCAACTTTGTGCCAAATGTCTATAAATGAATGAGATAAAGATTGAAACAAGAAGGAACTCTAGCCTCTGTGCTAAGTTGGGGAGGAGGCAGACTAATATTGAGAAAACCAGAGGTCAGTCCGTGGTATGTGGTACAGGAACTGAGCGATACCGGGCGAGTCATCACTGCTATCATTACTTTTCTTCTTTATGATAGCATTAGCATACATCCAGGGAAATGCACTGCCATTCAAGAGATTGTTTCTGTTCATATACATTGACATGGAGTATTAGAAATGGGCTCTGATCAGGTTTTATTTCAGAACTTGTGACATTTCCCACTTATTTTTTTTTCCACATAAACTTCATTTTTCTCTTCCACCCAATATTAAGTTCTCCTCAGGTCAGAAGCAATATTGTTGCCTTCAGCATCCAATAAGTGTTCACCAAGATAACTCCTGATCAGGAGTTAAGACTCTTTTTTATTTAACATCATTTTCCTGCAGGCCCTGGCCAAGTGGGTAACTCAGTTGGTTACAGGGTTGCCCCGATATGCCAAAGTTGTGGGTTTGATCCCCAGTCAGGGGGAATACAACAATCAACCAATGAATGCTGAATGAGCAGAACAAATTGATGTTATTCTTTCCTTTCTTTGACAAGTTAAAAGTACTATTTAACTTTGAGTTACTATTATTAATAACATAAGATTTGTGAAAATGTAGGAAACAGATTTTGCTTTCCAAGGCGGACGCGTGGAGAGATGGTTTGTGTAAATGTGTGGTCACACGTCGTTCTCTGAGCACTCACGATCAGTGTCCATGTCTTACTGAAATCCCACCTGGTCCTGGTGCTCCTCTGTGAAGGGAGAACTTCCCAGTTATTATCCAGGCTTGGACTGGGCCAGTTCACCTGCACTCTCCTCACTCTGCTGCTCAGTAGTTATATGACCTATTAGAAAGTTTGACATTTTGAACTACAGTGCCTTGTTACAGTAAAGGCCATACCATGCCAGGGTATTCATGGGCCTCCTATAGCCCTTAATTTGCAATCATGGAAGCCCTGCTCAAGAGAGAGAAGCTGGGTCAGCCTGCTCTCTGTCTTAAGCAAGTATCATTCTGAGTCAACAAGCCACAGCTTCCGGATGAGACTGGAAGAGACAGCCAACTCAGGTTCTGGGCAGGAGAGCACTGGTTCATGCATAGTTCAGGTGTCCTGGTCTCGGAGTTCTGTCCCCAGATCCTCATGGATGGGCCCCAAGGACAAGTTCATCCAAACACAGTTTGAGTGCACATAGTGAATGCCTGACAAAGAGTAAGTACTTAATATTTTCAAAATCCTATATAATAAAAGCCTAATATGCTAAGTGTCCAGTCAGCCTGTTGGCCATTCAACCAATCATGTTGCTAAGGCTGATGATATGCTAAGGCTGCTCAATGGCTCGCTGTGATGTGCACTGACCACCAAGGGGCAGACAGTCGACCAGTTACTATGACATGCACTGACCACCAAGGGGAAGACACGCTGACCGGTAGGTGAGTTTGCTTCTGGGGTCCGGCTGATCCGGACTGAGCGAGACGGCTGGACACACCCTGGAGCCCTCCCACAGTCTCTCCTCGTTTGGCCAACCTCCCAAATCCCTCCCCAGTCCCAATCATGCACCAGTGGGGTCCCTCGGCCTGGCCTATGCCCTCTCACAATCCAGGACCCCTCGGGGGATGTTGGAGAGCTGGTTTCGGCCTGATCCTGCAGGCCAGGCTGAGGGACCCCACTGGTGCATGAATTCGTGCACCGGACCTCTAGTAAATTAATACGGCCGGACATGCCCTGGAGCCCTCCCGCAGTCCCCCCTCATTTGACCACCTCCCACTCCCTCCCCAGTCCCTATCATGCACCAGTGGGGTCCCTCGGCCTGGCCAACACCCTCTCACAATCCGGGAGCCCTTGGGGGATGTCGGAGAGCTGGTTTCAGCCTGATCCCGCAGGCCAGACCGAGAGACCCCACTGGTGCATGAATTCGTGCACCGGACCTCTAGTAAATTAATAAAGGATTCATGTAATAATGTGTACCGAATACTACATTATGCATAATTCCGGGAGACACATAAGAAACTATGACATGGTTCTATACCAAATATTTTAATTTACTTCAAAAGACAAGACAAGCATATGTGAAATATTTGAATGTTTAAAGTGGGGAGTTAAGTGATAGCATGCTGATTTAAAGTGTAGGGCTACCAGAATTCAAAGACACGGGGGACCAGTGGCACAGTCTCTTAGGAAGTGAAACTGGAGATAGATTTTGAAATATGGATGGGATTTGAGAAGACAAAAGAGTATGGGCATTTCAAGCATGACACAATGTCTAGAAATGGAAATATGTGTGTTTGTTTCACTCTTTCCTTTCGGGCGATGCAGGGGTAGGAGTGAGCATTGGAGGTGGGTATTTAAAACAAAATAGGTTATAACATAAAATATATATCATAATATAACTATTCAAAAACACACACATGTGTACTAAGATGTATATATAAAGATATTGCTCAAAATCGTAAAAATTTTGCAGTAATTTAAATTCTGTCAGGGGAATGGTTAAATAATAAATAATACTAGGAAGTAGATGAGAAGAATATAGTAGGTCTCTGTGTGCTGACAGAGAAAGACCATCATGGAAAGACACAATAGTATATTAAAGGTGAAAATGCATTTATGTAATATTTGTCAACTTTGAAAATTGATTTTAAAAAATCAAAGTGGTATTTCAGGAAGATGAATGTGGTAACATTGTGTCAAGTTAAAAGGGGGTGATTGAAAGTGAAAGGGTATTGGGGGATGTTTGCTTGCGTACAGACACAGGAGGCCAGAGACAGGGCCCTGAATGGTTAAGAGAAAGAACCCAGAGACCTTCTGAAGAGTGACTTTGAAGGACTTCATGGCAGATTCTTGATAGAGGGGATGAAGGCAAGAGAAGAGAAGGGAGATGTTTCAGGTTTCAGCTTGGGAAATAGGCACTGAGGACTGATTTCTATGAAAGGGGAATAGACTCGTGCTAATAGGAAACCTTTCAAGAATTTCTGTGTCTTTTTGTTTCTCAGGATGGAAGAAACAGTACGAAATCTATTGCAGAGTCAAGGACCTCCAGAGCAGAAAAAAGAAGACACTGTTAATATAATGGTCTATCAGGTACACCACGGTTCTTACTCTTGAATGGGTACTGATTTTCTCATTTTCTCTAGCTCTGTCCTCCCTAATTCAGAGAGATATAAATAAGTATGGGCCAGACCCTGGTGCTGGGATCCATATGGTTACCTCTGTTTGAGGAATCATGTGCACATTTATTTAACTCATTCTTTTTTTTGAATTCCTACTGTGAAACAGATTGTAGATTTGGTTGGAGGAAGATGTAAAAAGTTAGTTTGCCGTGAAACTGAGAGAGCTATAAAAATATCGAAGTACTCTGTGACCAGGGCTATGAGAGAGGTAGATCCCACACTGTCTGGGAACACAGGGAAGGGGTAACTCACCCTGTCTTGGAGATAAGGAATACTTCCCAGAGAGCTATGCCACTTATGGTGGGCCTGGAACAGAGAACAATAGGAAGGACACTGGGGACAGTGGGAAAGCCTAGCTGAGGTGCAGTGGTGTGCATTTGCATGGCAGGCACATGGAGAATGAGAAGCTCAAGGTCATTGAGTAATGGTCTGGGGAGAGGAAATGTTGACTGTGAGACTGAGGGTGCACGGGAGAGCTGGATGAGGCCATGCTCATATGCTGGGCACATGGGTGTGGCCTTGTCCCCCGTCAGTGTTTTGGGGGTCCACAGAGAGTAGGAGGTCAATGCAGTAACAGGTTGTTATCATCCAGAGGCCCTCAGCCCCTGGCTCTTTAACACCAGCAAGGTGGCCAGGCTGGAGGGCAGGACACTTGGCCTGAGAATGACCCAGTTGGCCACACAGTTGGGAAGACTCTTGCAGGGGGGTAGAGAAATAACAGCAGAAAGAGCACAGGTACTGTTTATAGATAAACTAGAGACCTGGTGCACGAAATTCGTGCACTTGGGTGGTGGTGAGGGGTGTCCCTCAGCCTGGCCAGCACCCTCTCGCAGTCCGGGAGCCCTTGGGAGATGTCCAGATGATGGCTTAGCTCACTCCCCGCAACAGTTGGACATCCTTAGCACTGCCGTGGAGGCGGGAGAGGCTCCCGTCACCACCACTGCACTTACCAGCTGTGAGCCCAGCTTCTGGCTGAGTGGCGCTCCCGGCCTGCACCTCGCAATCCGGGAGCCCTTGGGAGATGTCCAGCTGATGGCTTAGCCCACTCCCCGCAACAGTTGGACATCCTTAGCACTACTGTGGAGTCAGTGCACGTCATAGCAACCGGTTGTTCCACTGTTCAGTCGATTTACATATTAGCCTTTTATTACATAGGATAGAAGACTTCTGTTGAAAAATCACTTGAAATGACAAATAGAGACCTAATATCCATTGCACAACTGTGTATAGAGAGCTAAAGAAGCTAAGGCAGGCAAGGAAGTGGGCTGAAATTTGAGGTAATTCCCATGGCTGTGCTCATGTCTGCTGGCTAAGGAAGTGGTTTTGGGAGGTAAGTATAGGAGCCCAGCAGGTAAAGATAACCTTACACTGGCTTCCCTGAACTCATGGGTTTGGGGCTCTGCAACCTAACTTGTCATGAGAAAGATTGGGAGGATTCTGATCATAAAAGCCACAGTAGCATACAAAGCTAAGAATTCCAGGCAGAGTTGGTTTTAAAAAATCTTTGTCCTCAATAGTTGACTCTGGAGACATGTGTAGGACTCCTTTAGGATGATGGACAGCTGCTCTCCATCTCCAGTGAATACCGTGCAAGGAGTTGATTTAAGCTGCCTCAGAGGAGATTAAAGTGAGTGCTATGCAGACAATTAATAAATCAGTAAAATCCACTTCTTGCAGAAGTACCCTTTGTGAGGGGTGTCTTTTCATAGGAATGCACGGTCCACTTTTCCTGATGTGCGGTCACCTAAAGTTAGGATAAGGATTTCAGTCCTCCCAGCTGTGAGTCTTTCTGAGGTATTGCGCTGCTTTGGTAGAAAATTGAGGTATAAATAAAAGGAGGGGGAGGGTACAATCTGCAGTAAGGGGTTCAGTGCAGCCTAAAAGAGCCACATGAATCTGAACCATAGTTCTGCCCCCCCCTTCACCTCCCACCGGGCATGCCAGGCCCAAGGTAAAACCAAGAACTCACATCCCACTGTGCTTTTCCCAAACGCCTCCTTGCTGCTTGTCCAGATTCCTTCTTTCTCTAGATCATGCTTCTCTTATCTCTGCACTGCTTACTACACATTTAACACCATCATTAGAATTTAATTTATAAAACTGGAAGCTACTTAGAAAACAGAGGCACTTTAAAAAATGTGTTTTAAAACTATTTCCTGTCTATGACCCAGTCCATTAGGTTTGGGGACTCAGTGCCTCCCTCTAGGGGGGAGGCAGTAAATCACCAGAATTGATAAGACATGGACGGATTTTTCAGTCATTGCTGTCGCTGGCCTCAGGCTCCTTATGTGGAAAATAGGAGACAGTCATGGGTTCCATGGCCCATAGGGTCATTTTCACATTCAACAGATTTACTGAGCTCAGAGTATGTACTGGGTACAGCCTGTACTCTGGGGATTCAGGCAATGAGAAGGGGGAGAGAAATGCTGCTGGGCAGCACCGAGGCCAGGGTCCCTGGCATCTCCCTAACCCGGGTCTCATAAGTGTGGCTAATAGCGGCTCAATAGGTCTGTACGAGCCGGGCCTGCTGACACCAGTGACGCCTTCCTGAAGTTAAATTCTGTGGTTCGAATGCGAGCTGGGAGATTTATTGCTTCATGGTATGGGGTGTTATGAGCACACGTGACTCAGACTTTCCAACAGCAAGATTTCTCTGACGGGAGCCAGAGGCCCATGCAAGGCTTAGGCCCATGGGAAAGCGGGCGTTGGTTTCATTTTCCACTGTGGAAGTTATATATATAGAGAGAGATTAAATGGTGGGGTCCAAGCGGCCCTCTGATTACTACCTAACTTGGGACCTAAACATAAGCCTTTCCACTTTCTATCTAAAGCACTCTACATTCATTTATTCATGTATTTACTCACTTATTCATTCAAGAGAGAGATTAAATGGTGGGGCCCAAGCGGCCCTCTGATTATTACCTAACTTGGGACCTAAACATAAGCCTTTCTACTTTCTATCTAGACCACTCTACATTCATTTATTCATTTATTCATTTATTCATGTATTTACTCACTTATTCATTCAAATGACAACTGTTCACTGACTTTTTACATAAGTGTAGTAGTTTCCCGTTGATGCTGCAGCAAACTTAGTGAGTTAAAACCGCACGCATTTATATTCTCTTAAATTCCTGAGGTCAGAAGTCTGGAGTTGCAGTGCTGGCAGCCTCAGGGAAGACCATTCCTCGCCTTTTACAGATTCCAGCATCCCTGGGCCTGTGCTCCTTCCCCCCATCTTCAAAGTGCAGGACTCCAAGCTCTGGTTCCATTGTCATATCTCTTTTTTTCTGAGTTTGACCCTCTCCCCTGCTTCTAGAAGGACCCTATGATTACATTAGACCAGTGGTCGGCAAACTCATTAGTCAACAGAGCCAAATATCAACAGTACAACAATTGAAATTTCTTTTGAGAGCCAGATTTTTTAAACTTAAACTATATAGGTAGGTACACTGTTATTAACTTAATTAGGGTACTCCTAAGGCTTAGGAAGAGCCGCACTCAAGAGGCCAAAGAGCCGCATGTGGCTCACGAGCCGCAGTTTGCCGACCACGGCATTAGACCCAACCAGATAATCCAGGAAATTCTCCATATGTCAAGATCTCCAATTTAATCTCATTCACAAAGTCCCTTTTGCCCTATAAGGCAGCATTCACAGGTCTCGGGGATTGGGAGGTGGACATCTGGGGGCGGGGCATTATTCTGTTCATGGCACTAAGTGACACATCCCTCTAGAAGGCTGGAGGTACCTAGCAGATAGCAAGCTAAGTGCTGGCGTACCACTGCCTGCCTGACAGGCCTTTCCTGGAGGGCTCAGTTGATAGGATGCTGGGCAGTGGGGAGGAAAGGCAAGTAATCAAATACGTGCAACCATGTGATGGGAGTCAGAATAGCAGCTTGCACGGGATTCTGGGAGCAGGAGGGATGATCCACCAAACCCACTGCACTGTTGTCCCTTGAGACCCTGCCATCTGCCTCACACTTATTTTTTAATAATCCATCCATACCTAGCACCAAGGACAGTCTCATTTCATCAAGGGAAATAAAACACATCAAAAGATTGTCTGTAGAGGAGCCTGAATCACTAGAAACGTCATGAAGTTTCCTTCTGCTTTTTTTTCCCTCCAGGTTATTCTCTGTAGGTGGTGTCTTATATATTCTTGTCACCCAGGTCACCATCTTATTTAGTCAAGTGAATTAGGAAACAGGTTAGAAAAAAAAAAACGTAATTGTTTAAGACGTGAAAGGGACCAATTAAACACACATGAAACAGAGTGACTGGTGGGAGAGGGCATCATTCCCCCAGCTTCCTCTGTGGCAATGTCTAAACACAGGCGGCCTGGCTGAGTTACCACGAATCCTAACACTGACAATGGGTTGCCTCCTATAGTCCTCTTGTGTCCATAGCTACCCTCTGTGCTGCTCTGCTATAGTGAATATACTTCCTCTTGTCTCTGTTCTTCTCTGTGGAACATGAAGTGAACCCACATTGGCTAATTCACTTAGAAAGAAAGAAAAGTAAATGGGCAAGTGGAAACACTAACAGCTTCTGCCACTCACAGGACCTCAGAGGGTCACCTAGACTCCCTGGGTCCCTCGGTTTTCATATTTGTAAAAGGTTAGGTTTTGGACTAGATTAGGGATCACAAACACAAATGCCCACAGTTGCTAAATAAAAGTGGGTCAGGTAGCCCTAGCTGGTTTGGCTTAGTGGATGGAGCGTGGGCCTGCGGACTGAAGGGCCCCGGGTTTGATTCTGGTCAAGGGCACATGCCCAGTTGTGAGCTCGATCCCCAGTGTGAGGTGTGCAGGAGGCAGCCAATCAATGATTCTCTCTCATCATTGATGTTTCTATCTCTCTCTCCCTCAATTGCCAAAAAAAGTGGGCCAGGTCTGAGAAAAATCAAGTGT